CCGGGATGGATGGATAGATGGATGAATGATTGATTGATTGAGTTTAGTCACCGTGATGTATGTTTTTGTGAAATGATGCGTAGAGTGATGAATAGTTGAACGGTTGACACGATGGATGATTTAAAGTATTAATAAATGTGTCATTTCGTAAAAATTTCGATTTGATTGATGTTTTGCCATTAAGTTCCATGTGTTGCTGCCTGAAAATTGTGTATTGTCGCGATGTGGTTGTTTGCTTTTTCGATTCTTGACGGGTTGACGCTTGTTTATGAAATGCTCCAACTGAATTACCGATTGATGGATGGACAGATGCTTCGCAAGTTAAAAAGGAAGCTGCGTAGCATGCCGTGGATCCATTTTATCTTTCACGGCCGCATTTCTGCGCGTTTTGGTTTCTGCTATTCCCCTATCTAAGCACAATCGCTATTCCCCTCTTTAGCATCCTTCTCGTCGAAAAAAAATATATTTTATTCCACAGGCACATATTTTTTTCCTTGGGACTGGTGAGTGTGTGTGGTCCATTATTTAAAAATATCCCATTCCCTGACTGATTTTTTTCCCAGTACAGCTCTAAGTCATCCATCTTTTGCACTGTCAAACACTTGACAACTCAGCAGTTGGAATAATTGCAACAAGCGATCCCTGTGGAACAGATTATTTGTTCAAGATTTTCAAAGCCCTTTGACAGCTATTTTAACTCGGGAATTGACAACTCGGGCACCTAGGCCTCGGCCGATTGCAAGCGGCATGGCCCTCGGGCCATGTCAGCAGCCATTCAAGTGTTCCGTACGTCAGCAATATATCTTCCACCATACCATCATGCTTTCTTACCAAATCAGGCAAGACTTGGAGCGCTGTGGTGTTGCCGGTCATAAAGGAAGGAGAATGCATTCAAGCTCGTTCTAGTAGGCTTGGATGTGTGAAATATCAAGCTAGAATGTTGTCGGCATGGTAAAGTGGAACTGAAATGTATAGGTAATCCGCAGGTTTCCCGGAGGGAAAAGCTGTAGATTTATAGAGCCCATTCCCACTCTTATGTTCTCGCTATCCTCTAGAAACTGGATGGCTAAAGCAAGACATTGTGGCCCGTGTGATGCCGAAAGTGAGCAGAGAATCCAAATTTTTTGTGGATCCAGAGTGTACCGATTCCATGGCGGTCGAGGGAGTCTCCTCATCCATTACTTTGTTGCGACCAGCCCACTTTTCACCTAAAAGGCGAATTTAAGCAAACGCGCATCACGCCATCGTAGCTAAGGGCGCTGCTTGATGATACCCGAAGATTAGAACATTTAATAGTTAAAATATGCATAATCCATGAAAAAGCCACTTCATTAAATTCAATCTGCTGTTTTTTGGGTTATTTATTGGAGGCATAATATCAAATATTTTCATAACATAAAGTGTAAATCAAGCATATTGCAGCCTACTTAGGGAATTAGCCATCATTTGAAGCAGTAATAAGCATACATATTATAATTTTAAAAAAGTTTTATAAATTGAGGCAAATAGATAAGTTTTTCAAGATGATGCTCTTTATTAACTTAGTGCTTCTGTGTGTATTAAATGTGCTAATATAATGAAATAAATAATTAATTTGTGTAAGGATTAAAATGAATCAATTAGCATACAATAATTTGAAAGTTGTAATGACAGAAAAAATTGATGTAATCTGCTCAGAAGCTTTTCTTAACTAGTACCCGCTTCCAAAAGTCACCCTAGTCAGTGACGAACTTAAACTAATTGACTGCAAAATTAACCACTTTAGTGTAGCGTCCCGAGACTCCCTGAAGACGAAAGAAGACAAAATACTCGGGCAGAATATATATATTCAGCACGGAGAAGGTGTCTGGGCTATTGGCATGGCCCAAAAGGCCAGCCCACCCAGCGAGGTACAAGGGGGCTAAATCAAAGTACAAATGTCGCCTCACTAGAACTGAGGGATAAACCACTATCGTATTACAATGGCTGCTCCGCATTCAATGTTTCAATTCAGTCGAAAATAAACAAAAGAGGCAATATGATTGTGATGGGTAATGAAGCCTCCTATCAGGCCGCTCCGGTAACAGATTGGGGTCGTTTTGTCGCTCACCTATATTTCCAGCGTGTTACTGCAGCCTAATTCTGATTTTAGTAAGCAAAGAAGCCCAATGTGATTATTAGATGTTAATATTTTGTTAAGAGGTATCTGTTTGCTGACATAAACATACCTTAGTTATTTTAGCGTCCCCTTGCGTTGTGCTTCAGGAAAAAAACTGGTCTCAGCAAGGGTGCAAAAATATACTCTGCCATTTTAACACCCACTTTTATACAGGCAGTGAAAGGGCACCAAGTTTAAATAGCAAAATCAAAATACTGACTTTAGCTCTCAAGGTTATGTCGTATGTGTTTGAAGTGAGTATATACGGGTTTGGTGCAATGATGCCTCCTTCGTTTACAGACATTGGTAAATCTGCCCGCGATCTCCTCCGAAAGAACTTTGATCTTGGAATTCGTTTCTTCTCCTTTAAGGGTAAAAATGATAACCTTGAGTTCCTTGGTCGAGTTGATAATGCATTCCGAGTCGGAAAGGTACGATTTCACTTTTATCTTTTTAAAATTTATGATTTCCACAACAGTTGTTGGGAACATTCGAGTCAGAGTACAATCTGAAGGAGTATGGTCTAACACTCAAGGAGAAGTGGTCTTCAAAGGGCCTCATGTCTGCTGATGTATCTGTCGATGGTCAAATCATGGATGGCCTTTGCAATACCCTAAAAACTGAGTACAACATGGAGTCGGGGTTCGCTTCTGCCATTCATTGACTTCTAATTAAATTAGATACAATCGTGTTTCTCTCAAATCGGTGTACAAGAAAGAATACATCAATGGGCAGGTGGATTTCCAATTTCGAAGTCCCCTACCGGATGTAGTACAATCATTGGTTGTTGGGTAAGTTGTTGGAAGACAAATGAATGTTATAATTTAGATTTAGTAATCATCTTTGGTTAACATATTTTCCTTTTAGACATCAAGACTATTTGGTCGGTGCTGACCTGCATTATGACGCCTTCCAGAAGGAATTGAGACGCGTTGATTTCGCGTTCGCCTACTCCGTGAAAGATTTTGGTTTCCATGGAATTGTTACAAACTGGGCACGCACCTTTACTACTGGGGTATATCAGCGGCTCACTGATCGACTCGAATACGCTGCTGAAGTAAGTCAATATTCCACTTTTCTACTTTCTGTGAAATTTGAGTGTTTTAGTACCTTGGAAATCCACTATAACTGAGAACTTTGTAGAATTTGGCATTTTTGTGCCCGATTTTTCCACTTAACTAGCTATCCATACAGCACACTTTTCTCCGCTCCGCTAGTCCTGCCATTTTAGTCGACCGGTCCTCCAATTCTCTAGCTATTTATTAACTTTTAATGCACTTATTCATCTACTAACTAATACACTAACCTACCTGTCAGCTCTAAATCCATTTTTATCTACGCCACAGTTTTGTTTTTTTACTTTGCATCTTTTCACGTTCTGATTTGTCCGCTTACTCAAAAACACATCTGCTAATAATTCCTGCATTTCTTAATCGTCCCTCTTCGACTCATCCATCCTTCCATTTAGCCAAGCATCCCTTATTCTTTCATTACTTCCTGTGCCATTCATCCATCCACTCATCTATCATGGAGCTATTCATTGTTGCTACATCTATTCGTCTCTTTTTCCGTCAGATCGGCTGTCTCCTTCTACATTTCCTACTCGGTAGACTTCCATCTTTCCTAATCAAGTAAGAACCACTCAGTTGTTTTTTTCTCACTACCTTTTAAGGTCACGTGGAACCGTGATGTTCCGGCTCACAACTGGGCCATAGCCTGTCAGTTCGCAACCGACTCGGACCAAAAGCACATCCTCAAGGTTAAATTGGACAGCCTACAGCGTATCTCCGTCTCCTTAAAGAATCGGATTTATGACGGAATCACTACAGCCGTCTGTGCCATGATTAATGATGTCGAAGAAACCCAAATTGGTTTTGGTGTTGAAATTGAACGATGAAATGGCGAAGTACGATCTCCCCGCCTTATTTTTGTGTGTTTACCGACTTAGTTCTTCAATGTGGATTTCATCTTGCCCACTTTCTAGCCTCCTTTTTTCACGTCTTGTAGCAGTTGTGATTTTAGGAATAGAGCCACATTACTATTGGCATTCTGCTATCTTCCAACAGCTAAACACTAATTGGTTGCCTGTGCACATTAGTAAACTACCAATGAGTTGGGGAACACGATTTTTATTAACATGATTGGAGGACTGATTGGCGAATGGGAGTGTAGCATGGCAAGTTCTGATGCCCGGGTTTTATTTCAGTCATGGACCTCACCACACATAATCGTTGCACGGAAAAATGAACGCTTTGATGAATGAGAAGTTTGTAAAGTGTGGACTTTACAGGACTCTATTAATTACATCAACAGTTTGCGTACAAGTTGTTGTAAACCTGATCCATCTAGGCTATTGTGTAAAGTTAATCCCGAGTCCATGTACTTTTGACCCTTAGATTTTGCAGGATTTTGGTGAAAGAGCTGGTCTCTTTTTCAGTGAGAAGATAACCTTTTCCGGTGAAATTTATCTGTAAAAATGGGCTGTTGTGAAGTGACGTTTGTTTCTGTGGCATTCATTCCACTTGTTGAAACCATCAGCAGTGCAATCCACGCCACTTCGCAGACGAGATGCGAGTTGACGAATTTTATTTTTTAATGTAACAGTTTAGCTCTGAAAGCAGTGCATATCTTGCTGCATCTGGCTGAACAATGCTGTCGCCATGAAGAGGCAATTTACGACTTGACAGAAGAGGGATTCGGAGGTAAGCGGGAAGGGCTATGATGCGGTATTATTTTCAATCCCAAAGTCCAAACCTTTCTACGAATAAGCCATCTGGTGGTAGGTTTGTTGGTATCTTTCTCAGCACCACTGAGTTGTGGCAAGATCGCAAGCGTAACTGCTCCGCCTTCGGTTATTGGACAATTTCTTAGGACTAAATACGCCTGCTGTCGCTTCCAAGGATAAAGTGATGCTTCGTGATCAACTCATTCTTCCGGTTGGTCAGTCAGTCAGACAATTAGCAAACAGGCTAAAGCGGAAGCCACGCTGTGTTGGGGTGCGTGAAAGAATAAAAAAAATTGTAGTCTTCTAAGCCTGCTATCACCTGTCACTCATCTACTACGCCTTCTTCAGAAAACGTAGGTGTTAACGGGTTACAAAAACCGCTTTATTCTTCATTCCTAAACGTGGGTTATTGAGCAAATCAAACACGGAAAAATCATTTCTGGACAATACTCTCCACTCCCGCAATCCCTTCCAATGCAGCTCGGCAAATGGGTTCGCCTGTACCATGATCCCGGTTCCCTTGGTTGAACGTCTACCAAACGCTGCAGAATAAGGAACCCGGGCCAAAACTCCGCAACAACGCAGTTCTCGAGTTTTCCTCGGTCGCTAATTTATGTGCATGAGTTTAAAATCGTATCGAGCTTCCAGCCCAGAGCATCCAGGAAACGAAGACTTCACTACGGTGGAGTCTTTACTTGTCGAGAGGCATGAGTAAGCTGAGGGTACGGTGTGTGCCTATGTGACGACTGCCAAATGATTATCAGGAACACGAACTGACTCCTCTTCCACGTTTTGACTTGACTTGACATCACAGTGACCATTGACACATTCAAATTCTGACCCATCAGGGAGGAACTGAGGGCGTTCTATAATTCTGGGTAAAAGGAGAGCCAGCCACGAGAGTCATTTTTGCATGCAATTCTCTTTGAAGACATCCACCCAAAACTACAGAGCGGCCTATCACAAGTACGAAGGGCAGCGGAGATAGATGAGGGAATTCCAGTATGAAAGCAGAAAAAAGCTAATTGAATTGTGGGATAAGCTGAAGAAAAATTGGCGAGTTCCTTACTCTCCTCAGTTTGAACGGCACAGTCACCCGACCGTGTCCACAACTTCCCATACTGATATAGAACATGTGTCGCACACAATGAGTTCAGTTAAGAAAACCCGGACGTCACATATAAGTGACGCTGGTGACAAACATGCCAATTAACGACACATCGCTGGGACGAGAAAAAAAGCATACCGAATATTTGTCTCTTTTTAAAAATGTATCTTGAAGGAGGGGTCAGAGGAAATCAGACAAACACAAGGCGGGAAGGACGTGTCTTGCGCTTCCTTCACCAAAAAAAAAAACAAGAGCAAAGGAATAAAACAAACAAACGCCTTTAAGGATGCGGAAAGAACAAAAACGCGGATGCGTTCCGCTTCGAAATGCAATTTGACGAAAGTCAGATTCGGAAAAAAAATCTTTAATTAAAAAAGGAAGAAAACAAAGAAACTGTTTGATTATTTGCCACCAAACTTCTGCCTTAACGCCATAATCGAGGGAGATATCGACGTGGAGGTGAGGCTTCCCGATCGACCGGTTTTCAAGAAAGCCGATGACAGGCTGGAAGGGGAAGGTTTTGCCGACGATTCTGCTGCGGAGTGCAGTTTCGAGGCAATGGACTGAATCATCTCTGATCCCCGTCGTTTAGGCGTAGTAGATGAATCCGGCGCTGCTTTCGACGTTGATGCTGATGGCACCGTGGGTGTCGCTGGCAATGGAGAAGTTCGAGCTGGTGACTTCTTCTTCTGTTTCGGAGATTTGGAAGATGAAGTCGTCGATGATGGTGTCTTAGGAGGTGAATATCGCTTCTCCTTCGGTGGTGAATTGCGTCGGGAAACGTCTGTTTTGGAACCGGACAGCTTGGAGGATATTCGAGAAAGAACAGAGGGTGTGGAAGACGTTTTTGGGGAAGAGGAGGTCTTTTCCTCGGCAGATTCGACAGTCACAACGGCAATCGGAGTGACAGTGTTGGTATTGGTGTTGCTGGTAGTCGTAGTGGTAACGGAAGAATGGCGAAGTTCAGCAGGATGTTTAATTATTACATTGGAGGAAACAGAGGATGATAGAGGGAAGGTAAATGATTCCGTTTTTGAAATCAGACTGCCTGAATCTGGGGTCACATTGTCTTCAAAGAATTTGCGTCGAGCGGGAGAGATCGGTTGACGCAAGGGAGGTTTGCCTAAGAACACCCCAAAAAAAACACTACTTCAACAATTCTAATGAGCAGTAATTGATGGTAAAATGTATAGGCGTTTTTAAGCAGATTCACTGCTACTGAAACGTTTGTTAGTTGAATACTTACCAGGAGAAGTGAAAGGCCTCTGAGTGAGGTCGCCAACACTGCCAAGGTTGTCGACAGAGGACTGGCGAGAGCGAACAAGAAAGCCTGGTGTTGGATCCGGATAATTAGTGATCTGGTAAAATGGAAGAAAGCGAAATTGCACGAAGTGGAAGACGAGTCAACCCATTGGCAAATCTAACGCGTTTACTGCCAGCGCCACACCCACGTAACGCCCCACTTTTCCCATCAAAGTGCGGCAGCACGAATAAATGTCCCGCGCGGGATAAATGATAACAATGGCTGCATCAAGTTGTGTCTCAAACAGATTGGCGGAGTTTAAAGCAGAAAAACAAGTAGAAGATGTGAGATTTACAAGAAATAGCCGAATTCACCAAAAAAAGTGGTGAAAATCGGCGTCTCATGTTATAGCGATGGCCGATTTTCCCGTGAAGTACCCCTTTATCCTCATGACTTAAGGATTTCTTTTCCTGACACGGACCATCAGGTGTTCAGAGGAGTCAAAATGTCTTTAGCCATTGATGACGACTTCTTCCCAATAAAACACCAAAAATGTCATAATATGGTAAGCTACTTAAATTCAATTTCAGTAGCACATCACCCACCTTTCGAATACTGACATCGGGTGAAACAGAGCGACCGCAGCGGATCAATGAGGGAGTGACACTTCTAGCCAACGAGGAACTAATTCCAGCCGCCAAGCTCACTGTGCTGCCTCTAAATCCGTTGCAGGATTTGTTGAACCACTCCACTGAGGTGGATCGATGTCCCGCGGAGAGCGGAGCCTTGGGCTGGGTGACAGGAGTGCTGATCATACTATCACCCATCATTGACTGCGTATCGGAGGTGTGTGATCTTGAAATGTTAGAAATGCCGTTTCAATTTCACCTGATCTGAGATTACTGGCAAACACGGAATCCTAATCGGTCGACTTCGTCATTTTAACATTAAACAAGTACTTTACATATTTCTTTACAAAATAAGTTGTTTTTTATGAGCTATTGCAATACGTAAGACGAATGTGCCTCCCATAAACAATCCCCACTTCCACGGGGCCATGAAGAGTGTTCGTTAGAGGATTGGCTGGTGTGAGCTATGGACTGGAAACCAACACGACCCGGGGAAGGGGGGGTACGAGTGTCACTAACACCCTCACAGCATTCTACCAACGGACGCCTTATCACCACATAGGCTGTGCTTAATACCCTCTGCAGATAAAATTGCCTAGGATTTGGATTCTACCCTGTAGTCACCTTACCTATCGATAGGTGGACAGCAGGGTGGTGACGTTTCATCGGATGCTCTTGTCTCTTACTAGCATGAAAGCAAACCTATCTATAACTCATGAGATCTCACGCACTTTTCCCGGCTTTCTTTACAATCGTGTACGTCGTTGGAAGCAATTTGGATGCTACATACGTCAAGTATGCTTGACACCTTTTACTCCCCTGGAACGAATGTGGTAATTTTCACTAACACCTCAAGGAAGGATGTCGTCGGAATGAAAAGCATCTACCGTGGATGACTGAGTATGGGGAGTGTCACAAGACAAGAGCAAGGAAGTTCACGTCAATTGTCAGCCAAGTAGTCCACTTTTAAACGTAACAATGTCTTTGATGAACAAACCCGCGTGGGACGAAGGGCACTACTTAAAATGCTTAAGTACATCAGGTCCGACATCGAAGAGAAGCCAGATGCAGCAACTGGAAAGTATTAAAATTGCAAAGAACCAGAATGACATATCGAGGAAGTGCCTTACAAAGTGTATCCTACTCCAGAAAAAAATGGACTTCTGAGTAAGTGTCCCAACCAAAAGACATCGGCATACGGAATGACCTCACATCGTCCGTCCCTGTGACTTTAAAATACAGGACGCTGGGGATAAACCTCGTCAAAATAAACAAGAAGCATTGCGACTGTAGAACTTAGAGGGTCTCTGCACTGTGCACCCCACCCTGGTCTCGCAGTCGACCTCAAAGGGCACTGAGGACAAGGCTCAAAACGCAACGGAAACCCAGGAGTGTGATGAACCATTAAATGGATTGGCTTAAGCCTCCCTCGAATAGGTTCATGCCATCACTACCAATACCGAACACGCCACTCTTTTTTGTTGACAGAGAAGGCACAAGACGGGCGTATTCAAGCAAATCTACAACCCCCGTGAGTTATCGTCCTGATATTCGTTGTTCTGTTTTCAAAGAAATTAAAGAATTTAATCCATGCACAGATAACAACATGCATAATATAAGTAGCAATAAATATGTTACGGCATTTAGAGCAAGAAGAAAAAGAAAAGGGCTAATGCGTGTGACAATTAGATAAAATTCCTTAATCATGGAAAAAATGCCAAACAAGGAGTGATTTAATACCCACCTCCTATAGCTGGAGAATCGAGCAGTGGTTAAGCGTTGGAAATTTTAGGCAGATTTTGGCATTTTAGGGTAAAAAGTTAAAAAAAAAAACAAGGGAAAAGTGTCAGTGTAAAGCAATTCAGCCTTTAATGATTTCAATTTGTTTTTGAGTCTCGTTGCAGTCTACTGAAGTCATTTAAGTAGCAATGATCACGATGTAGTAAGCCCATAAGCACAAAGCAGATGAACGTAGGCTGCTTAGCGATCTCGGAAGCAACTAAGCGCGGACATATGCACCACTCAAATTTGCCTAAGCGTCTTCTGCAACGAAACCAAGGATAGAGAGGCAGTACATACCCAAGCATTGCTGGACCTGCGGAACTACTCCTAGAAAAATTTAAATTAAAAAAACACTTGAACCATCCAAAAGGCGCAAATTACATTTTTTTTTTGATAAGTAGAGAAATTAGTAGGCGTGTGCGGGTTAATAGACCTATTCTGCAACCAAACCTACCGTTGGCACTGCTCATCAGTGGATAAAGTCCTACAGGCAACAAACATATCACTGCAAAAGAAAAGCTACATAAAAGTTTGTGACACAGATGTTAAAGAGAAAATTCTTACCTTCGGAATACGGGCATGTGCTGTCGACAGGTGCGCCAACGCTCCATTTCGGCGACGATATCGTTGATAATCTCCTCCGACTTCATGCCTTCCACCCCATCCTGAATGGGGGTAAAGTATTTTAAGGAAAAGCTTTAAATGCGAGTGGCTGACCGCAAATTAAAAAGTACTCACTCTGTTGGCAAGGCGAATACACCACTGTTCGATGGAAATTCGTGAATCTTCAATTCGACAGAGCAAATCCTCCCTCTCCTCCGACCAAATTTTGTATTCCCGATCTGCTCCCTGTTCCGATTCGATCAGCCGCTCTCGGAACAACTCCGCCTGCTCGCGGTACAGATTCAACTGCAAAAGAAGCATGGAGATCTAGAGTTCATAAATGTACGTCAGCGCCCATGGTCTCCGAGTACCCCATTTCACCAGCGGTAACTCATGCCTTCTATTACATCCACATGGAAGACTAGGGATCCTGGGCCCCACCAAACATTAAGATAGAGGAAGGTGCACCAGAACACCATTCATTCACCTGCAACAACTGCTCGTTCAAGCATTCCATTTGACATTCGGCAGCTGCCCTCGCAGCCTCCGCCTCGTGAATTGCAGCAATGGTGGCTTGAGACTGAGCTTCAAGACGGTGCTGAAGCTCGGACTTTAGACGGGCTATGGTCCTTTCAGCGGAGTCAAGACGTCGTGCAGTTTCCGCGTTGGCGGCGTTGGTGGAGGCGCCGGTATTCATCATACTGATGTGACCGGTGCGGGCTGGTGAGGCGCTAAAGCGTTGCAACACTTTCGGCAGCTTCTGTTGCTCCTTCAGCTGAGTTAACTGTACCTGAAAGTAAAAATAAACTGATGTGTAGCTGGTAGATGCCAGCCTGCCTTTTGCTGTAATTCTACTTACAAGTTGTGAGTAGCAATTTTCAGATCCGTAGAAGAAGGGCGTTCAAAAAATATCGCAACAAAAGAAATTAGTTAAAAATTTTAAAGCTATACCAATTTTAAAGGTGGATTTTTCTCCTATGCTTACCTTAATTTCAGATTTTTCAGACTCCAGTCTGGCCATTTCATGCTCAAACCGTTGCCTTTCCTTTTCAAAGGTGATTTCAGCCTCTGCCAACCGAACGCTGGTCTCTTGCAGTGACTTCCTCGTGCTTGCTATTGTATTCTTCCTCTCCTCCTGCTACAAAGATCAAAAGCTCACACTCAACCGCATTGTTTGAAGCCAGTGATGAGCACTGCTGTAGGTACTAACTCACCTCCTTTGCCTTAGACTCGAGGACCACGCGTTCCGACAGCCAGGCCTCTTGCTCCGCTTCGTATTGCTCCTTCAGGTTAGCATACTTCCGTTGATACTCCAGCACCTTATTCTGAATTATTTCGTTCTTAATTTTTAGCTGAGAAATGATGCTACTTTGCTTGGCAACAAGTTCATTAAACAGATTAAACTTTTTGTTGACCTGCGTCTCAGCAACAGCTCGAGAATAGAGGTCGCCGCTAACACCGGAGCCACCCACTACACCAGCAGATGTGTCCATTGACGAATTCTGCAAAGTGGCGGGATTCATTTTCCACCCACATTTTACAAATGGATGTTTAATTTGTGAAAAAGTTACCAGGCGGTTGCAGGCCTCCTGAAGGCGTTTTTCAAACATCTGCCTATCACGACGCGCCTCCTTGGCAATTTCATCTCTCTCCTGGCGTAGGGCAGTGCATTCTCGACGAAGACGGTCCATTTCCATGCGTCTACTGTCCCGGCTCCCATCACGACCGATGCCGCTGTCGGGGGAGGAGTCGGGTCTCCATCCTCCCATACCCTCTCCCTGTTGAAACCTGCACGTGGTGCATGGTCATTTATTTTCGTACGAAACACTCACCAGATGAGAAACCTAAATTTCACAAACTCACTTTTTCTGAAGTTCAGCTATAGTGGCCTCAAGTTTCTTGATCTTCGTCTGTGCCTCGGTGCTAGTCTGACGAGCCGCATTCAATTCTTCATCAAGCCGCTGCGAATCCTTCTTGACCTCGCTTAGAAGGTCATCCTTTTCGCAAACGAGGGCTTCTTTGTTCTTTAACTCTTGTGCTAGCTGTTTGCACTTTTCTGAGGCTTCTAACTCAGCTGCTTGGGCCTTTTCTAGGTTTGAGTTGGAGGCTGTAAAGGAAGGATTTTTGCTTTTAGATGGCAAGTAATATAGTGGACAAAGTTGACAAACCTAGGCATAACAAAAGGGTTAAGCGTCGCATTGATTTTCGTCGTTCTACTGCCATTCTCTTAATGGAGTTTCCAGTCCATGTTGACAGCCCTCACCATATTATTAGGCCTTCCAAAGTAGTGCGCTTTAGTACGACTTCAGCGATAACTTTGGCTGCTAAATTAACATCAATGGACGCCAATGAAGATTAAGCGTATTTTCACTGGTTGGTTATGGAGATTATCAGCTGTGGATGACGCAAGCTGCACTTAACAAAGCATGTTGACAATTTTGGACAAGTCCTACCTACGCCCAAAATTCGATCCAACTACCGGTGCCAAAGGCAAAGTGCGTTCCAATTAATCAGAATTAACCTTAGGGTAATGCTTAATGAGGGTCTTAGAAAATAGGTCAGAAGATGAGACACCCCATCCTTATGCAGCCTTCGGGCAAATCCTACTATAAAAGGAGAGATTCACAGAGTTTTGGCAGGGGAATTGGAATTCAGCCACTTTGATTCGCCTTAAGGAACATTCTAGAAATGTTCACGTTTCATTCTGTCGTGTATTACCTCCTGAGAGGACGGTACCGTGTGAAGATGAGCCTTGTTCCTACTAGTACTCATTTTTAAGGTCAAAAGGACATCAATACACGAGAGGTAAAGGCCCGCGTTGATAGTCCAGGATCATCAGTACCCTAGGCCCTGGAAGGGCACAATTGCACTTTGACAGCCTCGATCTCCCACACACGCACTGTCCACCAGTTAAGTCAGCAAAGACATCTGATCTGAAGGCCTTACCAACCCTGATGGTGGGAAGGTGACAGGGTCTGTGTTCACACATCCGCACAACCGATAATAACAGAAACCGCCAAACAGAAAATCTCTTCAATCAAACGTTGTTTATTCATGAAAGCAACCTCTAGAAGTTGCAAAAAATACCACTAATGTTGGTAATTTATCACTACGTCGCCAATCCTGCCTCACAGGGAGTAGGGAGAATTGAAAGCGGCGCTCTCAAGAGTGATTTAATTGATAAAACACCCAAGATTTCCATTCCTCTTCACTATCTTGATTGCATAACATTTTGCACAAGGCATTTCTGACGAAGTTCCATCCACAACTCATGTATCTTATAACAATTTTAACGCAACACTTCCTGCTGAAAATCGTTTTCTTTATAAAAAATAAAACTTCCAGATATTTAAAGAAAATAAAGTTTACTCAAACTCACTTCTTAGTTCATCCTCTAGACGTCTGAGCTCCGATTTCAAGCGTTCGTTTTCAGCCAATGTTGAACTGATTTTCATGCTCATTCCCTCCTGTGCTCTCGCAGCAGCCAATCCCTTACGAGCCTCGTTTAGCTGAAGATGAATCATTGGTTAGCTATAGAAACCAATAAGATATAGGGATTTGGCGAATTTACCAATCGCTCACCTCTACTTGCATCAACTCAAGTGCGCGTTTTGCCTTGGCCAGATCGGCATTCCGTTTCTCCAATTCGTCGTCTTGATCAAAAAGGGAATCCTCTCGAAGCTTCAATTCCTCTTGGAGGTCTTTGTTCTCAAGCAGCAGTTTCTCCCGAACCTTTTCAATCTGCACCACCTTTTGTTGAAGCTTTAAAAGCGGAAGAGGAGATAGGATCCTGGAAATTGTAGGAGTTCTAGTCGAACGAAAATTTCTTCCTAGACTGAGCATACAAGCCGACGTCTAATATCTAAAATAAACTGCTCCTTTGCAGTCCTCTTTACCTCAAAGTGGCAACCTGCATGCTACACTGTGAGTACAGTCGGCTTCCTCGTTTGAATTAGTCGCATGATAAGTTTGCACAACAAATTAAATCCATTTACTCGCTTTCGCCTCACTGCGGTACATCATCCTCCCCTTCCTTTTCAAGAAGGGGGAATAAAACGTGCACTTTTTTAACAAATATTTTACACTTTAAATTCAAATATTAGAATACACCAAGCTTACGATCGCTATCTCCTTTCGCATTGAGTCAATCTCTCGTCGATAGCTCGATATCTCCAGAGCCGTCTGTTTAGTCTCCATTGGAACCGGAGGTGAAGTGGCACCACCCAACGCAGTGTTGGAGGAGGCTCGGGATGCGTCCGTGGGGTCCTTGTCAATCAGCGTCTTCATTGCCTCATTCATCTTTTTGGCTCTTTCTAGACGGCCCCGCAATTCACGAATTTGGCTCTCGTGATCCTCTATCTGCTCCTCCTTCTCCTCCAGCTATGCGATGTATGTTAAAAAATGAAGCATTCCCTAGTATTTTTAGCAAAGTAGGTCACAAATAGAGTCAAAGCTTATTAGGGAAATAAAACAATCGAAAAAAAAACAAAAGCCAGAAATATTAAACTACGGCCCTAACTAGACCTTCTCAAGCAACTCTATACTGGCAATAGTCTGCCATTAGCTTCCACTAGCAACGATTGGAATTGACTAATTGACACAAATTTTCAATGTAATCATACCTGACCCTTTAAAACTTCGATTTCCTTCAATCTTGCCCGTTCATTTTCACTCAACATCGGACGAGGAATGCTCGAAGCACCAGATTTCAACTGAGTCTCCAAAATCCTTGCCTTTTCATGCTCCTTTTCCAAAAGCTGTTGAAGATTTTTTAGCTCATCTTCAGCTCCATTGGATGATTTTTCCGATTCAGTCGATTTAGACCTATAGCAAGGACGAACTGCTTATTTGTGATTGGAGTAGCATGCGTGTGTTAGGTCATATTTAGCTCTGTAGCTGTTAAGTAATCGTATACTTCAAAATGTTAATAAACACAGCTCCAATCTTTTAACCTTTCAAGCTGTTCCTGTAGAAGGCCGGTCCTCTGAACCATAAGTTCTAGGAGGCTACTAATGACGAAATCCTTCTTCTCCAAGTGCTCAATATGCTCCCTAAATTCTCTTTCTCGTTGATCAGCTTCAGCCTTGAATTCGGTAAGTTCATCACCCATTCTTTGTGACTGCAATTTCAGACTGTTTGCCGTGTTTCGTAGCACTGACATCTCTGTCTCTAGATCAGCTGAACTCACGAAAAAGCAAATTAGTGCAATCAGTAGCCTACTGGAAGGAAAGAATAAGTAGGAGGCAGCGAACGCACCCATCTCCTTATCGTAGTTATCCAACTTTTGTAACAACCACTCCTTCGACATAGCAGCCCGAGAATCGGACGATTTCAAGGAAGGTCGCCTTGATTCAATTCGAGCCACCACGGAACTGGGCAAATCACCACTCGCGTCTGCAAGCCTTCGTTTCAGTGTGTTAATCTGGGAACAAAATACCAGTTCACTTTATTCTGATGAACATAAAGTTTTATCACCATTCTTTCTATTCAAAATACCTGATTCTCAGCATCCTTCTGCGACTCCACAGCATCATTGTATTTGGCTAGCCAATCAACTTCACGATAGTTAACCTTGAGAGTGAGAAACTCATTCGCTAATTGGTTTATTCGTTTTGTCGCCATCTTATTGGTTTCTTTATACATTTCCAGCTCCTCTTGTACCGCTTTCAACTTTTCGGCGTTCTCATCAACTTCGGTTCGCTTAACTAAAAGGGAAAAAATGAACCATGAAGTCATCTGTTTAGGACGAAAAAGAGCAGCATCGGGGAAAAAATACCTTCTTGCTGAGTTGCAGCTAGTTCTTTCTTAACCTGAGATGCCGTAGCTCTGGGACTTTCACCACGTACCTAAAAGAAAAGAGTTAATTTATTTCCTCCAAAATGCAAAATATTACTAAAAACGGCAATAAGCACATTCAGATATTTCGAACAAAGTGATAAAAGTACAACAAATGTGCGCAAGATCGTGGGTGAACTGTGTGTGCAATTAGCCTTCGTGCGGTTCAGAACGCAAACCCACAGGCAGCACAGAGGTGCCCATTCTGTCCACTTTGCCATTTGGACAAAGTTTACACACTAGCTGCCATAACAACATGCACTCACAATGTGAAGATGAGTTTAATGTAGCGGTCACGTTATTTCATCCCATTGAATTGCCACCAAAACCCAGTTAGGCTGGTTGAAAAGCCCAAATTCATGAGGTGCCTCGTCAGAAGAAACAAATATCCTATCCTTCGCTACTTCTGCTTCCACCCTACTTGGATATATGAGCTGCCTATTTAGCATATGATGGACAAATGACTAGAAAAGATGACCACTATCAGGTAGAGAGTAAGGTGGTAACTCGGGGATAAATGCAACAACTCCACTCTTTTGCTTATTCGTTTATTGAGAACAAAGTCACATTTCTGCAATTCCTCTACTAGAAATAAGAATGGAAAGAATCAACAAATCGAGGCAGGAAAGCGGGGATATTAAAGGAGATTTATATCGCATGGAAAGATACAAAAATTAAAACCTTAGGGAAAATATTCTATGCTTGACTAACGACAAATATGAAAGGCACTTATCGAGGAAACACGGTCTCAAAGAGGTATCAAACTTTCCGTTATAGTTTGAAATGGGTTTAGCTCACCTGCTGCATACTAAGGCGCTCGAGCTGCCTCGTCAAGGAATTATTGTCTGCCTGTGCCTCCGCCATCCTGCGATTCATTTTGCGAAGCTCTTCCTCTGCAAATCGAAGCTGTTCAGAGAGGTCGGCCTCACGTTCCTTGGTGGTTTGAAGAGCACGAATGAGTTCGCTTTGCTCCGTAGAGAATGTAGTGTTGGGAGGTGCAGCAGCAGCTGTTGTGGAATGACGACCCTAAAAGGCGGAAAAACAATATTTACTTATTATTCAGAACCAAAGGCTATGTTTGACAAGAGGGAAACGTACGGCCTTTTTGTCGGTAATTTGTAGAGGACCACGTTCAGCGAATCGGCTCTCATATTTCAACTTGTCAAGCTAAAGGGTATGAGTGCATTGTAATATACTTTTATTGCAGGAAACGGATATCCTAAATACCTTAGGACCCTTATAAGCTGCAGGATATTTAAGTACCTGCACTGTGATAAGAAAGGCAACAATAAAAGTTCCCATACTTGCGTGATAGACCCTTTTCAGAAACAATCTTAAATTGAAAAAACAGCACAACGAATTAACCATGAAATCAAGTAAGTTAAATACAACGGGACCGTACCAGCAAGACTCAACGCATCTCCTTCGTGTGCTTCAACATCGGTGGGTTAAAATAAATTAATTAAACTAGTCTTAATCAGTTTAAACATCTTAGCAAAAATTTAAAATTTTTATTGAAAAATTTAGACTGCATTTTTAGCACAGCCAAAAGTCATTTCCTCTTCAAATAAGTGTATTAGTCATGCACAAATTGAAACACATCGGTATATTCTAAGCCAGATTTTATAAAGCAATTCGCTCCTAAAACAAGCAATCGCACCTGAAAGCCTCCACCTCTATTTATACTACACTGTTGCTTCCCATCTCGCCATTTTGAGTGTGTGACTGCCCAATGTCGTGTTATGATAATTAACGCTTGAAGTGGAGTTACCAGGAGGGTACGGGAAGGGAGAGGCACTTCCTCTCTCATTCTTTGTGCACTATCCATACGCAGTTAAAAATTCGTATAATTATATTTGTTAAGAAAACAGCCTGTCCTCTTACTGTTACAGAAGGGAGAAACTTTCAGCTCTGTCGCTGCCTTAAAGTCCACACAAACAAATTCACCTCTTATTCATGTGCATCATTCACCAAGTTAGATACAAAAGCAAACGTTTTTATTCTCCTCCTCCTTCACCTTTTCCCTTTTATCGCAGTGCATGCGCACATACGTCCGCATGCAGTACCAGTCGGATAGGCACAAGACTGCAGGTAGATTGTGTTTGTGTGTGCCACTAGTCACCACGCCACCGGATTGCTATCCCAGAAGCAGCACTGGCGTGCTCTTCTCCTCCACCTCACCGCTTGTATGAACAGGCGTTGCCGAGCCGCAATTAATTTACGATCACGACGATTAAGTACTTCTTTTTAATTCAAGATATGCAGTTTGAAACTGCTTCGAAAATATTTTAGTCGAGTGTAGTGCTTAAAAAGGAAAAAAATTGTAGTGGAAATTAAGTCCATATATACTACTTGTGTTTTTCATCAGTAGCTAGAGGGTGATTTATGTATTTTAATGGTGATATTTATAAACCTGTCCCATCTGTCATCCCAATTTTACTTTTGGATCCATAAAAGATGCAGTAGCAACTGAGTGGAAGCCCGAGACGTACCGAACTCTTCGCTCCAGCAAGGTCGGTACGTAAAGGTGTATTTGATTATCATGCTGAGTGAATGCCCTCCAACGGGAAGTGAATCGGTGCTCCTGACGCCAATAACTACCCACACTATTCAGGGCATGGCGACATTTAGCCCATTTATTAAAGGTTAAATTAACGGTCGTCTTAACCCCAGGCATTGACACCTTGCAATTAGCTGAAAGGCAGGCGAAATGCCAAAAAAAATTGGCCCTTGTCGAGCATTGTCAACTTTGGTTAGCATTCTTACAACCCTCATCGTTTCCATGGCAAATAAAACCGCACGGGAGCCTTGTTATGGTGTAAATACTTCTCCATTTTTGAGAGAATTCCTTCAAGCTTTTGAATCGTGCCACTATGTCTTATTTCAATGACCTGACAAAATGACCAGAGACTTACAACGCGCCTTCAATCTGAAGCGCCCATTACCATGACAAAATTTTGGGAGGTTTTTGTATTTCCTCCCCTTTGCTTCCCAAAACTGGCTCTAAGGTCATATTTGTAAACTTTCAGACTGTCTCACTTACCTCCAGACGCAGTCGATCCACCTCATTCTCAGAGGCGATTCGTCGATTCTGACATATTTGCAATTCATTCTTTAACTGGTGATTTTCATCTTCGTAGAACTGGCGCTTCTCCTCCAAAATGTCTAATTCGTTGTTAAGACGAACTGTCACCTCCTTAGCAACGCGCAATTCCTCCTGAAAGCCATCAAAACTATCCGTTGTAAGTAGAGGATGACTGTTGGCTAAAAATCAACTCCAGGTTCATGTAATTGTTTATATCTGCCTCTCGGTAATATAGCTAGCCCGCTTTATAGATGACGTCCGAAAACAGAACAGGACCAATAGACATGGACAGAGGGTAGACAAAGAGTTGGGCAGAAGCTGCATTGAGAAGACGTTTGCACTCTAATAACTGTTTCGCCGACCATTGCTTACCAATGGTGAGTTTCTATTCATTCACTATCCCTCCTTTTATCAAGAAATTGCCACTCGGCTCAGTAAGGATGGCCACCAAGTGATGAATGGATAGTAAAGTGGATGTGTGAATGTTTGGCCAAATAGACCAACTGATATCAGTGTAGTTCTTTTGTTTGGTCACGCTACTTAAATCTTATTTTAGTGGCTTGATCTTTCAATGCAGTTATGGCTGCAGATAATCACAGAAAAGTACATCCTACCCTTCTACCCTACTGTAGCTCTAATTTGGTGCCCAATTTGTCTCTTCAAAATCGCTTCATTAACTTCACCTCAAGTGTCCGAATGTGACCGATATCAGTCTCGCTGTAGAGTTGAGACTCTAGTCGCGAAAGTCGCTCTTCCAAATTGGCTCTCTCAGCCTCCACCTGCTCAAAACGACGCTCCGCTTTGCGTAGCTTAAACTGAAGAATTCTACACGTCTTATTGGCTGCCTCAAGGTCACGTTGCATCTCCCGCATGCTGTCCCTGTCCTCCTCCTACGAATCAGGAGTTAGGAGCATACAAATCATTATTTACGTATTACTACTTGAATCGATGTAAGGCATTTTACTAACCTGAAAATGATCATGCATCTCCTCAATCTCTCGCTGCATCTCCTCTATTTCTTCCTTCAAGGCCTCATTCTCTTCCATCACATCCTGACACAGCTGTTCCACCTGATTTAGTCGCGACTTCAAATCGTCATTGCATTCACTGCCCTCCAGCGCAGTACTTAAACCAGTCTTCATATCAGCAGTGCCACCTGCTACTCCACCTTGGTCGCTTTCTGGCAATCGCAGCCTTTCTCTGGTGAAGAAACCACCCAACACACGTCAAGATGCCGCTCGGTTGTGTTCCAATTCATTAAAAGTTCTTTTTAGTTACCTGTAACTCTTGATTTCTTCCTCCAAGTGGGTACACCTTCTTTCCAACGTGCTGACCTTCTCCTTGTACTGTTCCAGTGAAGTCTGCAGCTCCTCAATGCTCCTCACTTTTGCCTCTAACTCCATTGAGATGTCATTGCGCTCCCGTGCCAAAGCATCGTATTTGTCCTCCAAGTCGAAAAAATCATTTTCTAACTCCTCTACATATCTCGCGTCGATACTCGAGGCGGACGAGAAGATTCCACTGGTACCCACTTGGGCACTCCGCTCTGGAACCATTGTCTGGGGTGGGGGTGCCTGAATGGGAGCAGGGGTGCTTCTATGACCCGTAGGAGGTCCTCTGTGCAAGTCTTCAGCCGATCTAAATTGTTAAGGCTCGATGCCATTAGCGATCAGTGGTTGACTTTGATCTGATAAGGCAACTGCTCCTGCCTCACGTGACTCTTGATTAGGGTCAGATGATTAAAAAAATCAGCTGCTTGTGTTGACGTTGACTTGATGCATTCAAAGGACAGAGTTTTACTCACCTTGCTTTCCTTATAAAAGCGATAAAAATATATGCGCTTTTCTGCTACGCTGGCACGTAGTTTGACCTCAAATTTTGGCAAGGAGCCACTTTTCCGTCTAATGGATATGACCTAAGCCTAACCCCTCTCGTGTTTTAAGTCGCCAACGCAAGGTGCTGTGACAATAAACTTGTTTAAATAAGGCATCCTGTTTAAATGCGTATTCAACTGAGCTGGAAACTCAGTCTCCCCGAGCTGCCCGTCAGCTCTGCACCATGATCATCGGATCATGCTACTTTTTACCATTTAAGTAGGTAAAAACACTCCCGTCATGATTCGATAGTTGGTTTTTCAGTGTTTATCTACATGGGCTCTTCCGTCCCCGTGGATTGTACTTACGTTCCGCGGTATATTCATTAAAACATCATGGCAACCCGCCGGCCCTTCCCCACGCTAATAAGGTGCATGTTTATCATCACTACTTCGGCTTGATGCGGCTACGGGGAGGAAGCGAGGCGCAACTACAGTTGCACTTACTGGTCCACTTTTATTTGACAGGGCTCTTTGTACATATTTGCCTCCTTCGCATCCAACGACTTGGCATTTTATTGAGGTCGCATCAAGCACTGGGATGTACCTCCCTTACCTTCCAACTCGTCAACTGTCAATATGGGTACGGTTTTAACAAGTGATTGCTGTCAAAATTTGCCAGTACCCAAAGATGCTACCGTTAACAGCGCATAATTCCAGGGTACTCTAAAAGGTGAACTCTTTTTATTTGTACCAACCGGGGAAGGCTTCCCTTTTGTCGGAGACGAGTGAAGAGCCCGAGTGGACGAACGAACCTACCTTTATTTCAAAAGCCTCCAAATGTTTAGTCTTTCCTTGTTTGCAGGGCAGAGTTAAGATGCTCGAAAGCCAGCCAAATGTTTTGATTGCGGTGGCTTAAAGATGTTTGAGTTAGATGGGAAAATGAAGGAGCGCTGCGTTTGAACCAAGTTCGGTGAGTCCTTCAACCAACCTGTCAGTGAGTAGTGAAATTCGGCTACTTTGTGTCACTGAGACGGTTTACCTGTCAGTATGTCAGTCGATTTATTGACTACTCCACTTTCGTAATGAAATTTGGCCGAAAAAGACCATTTTTACAGCGGTTTAGTAGATTTCTGGCGTATCCAATGTCGTCTATCTCCTCGTGTCGTCACGCTCCAAAATCGTCATCTGAGGTAAGCCTTCTCCGCTACCAGCACTTGGAGGAGAAGGTACCTTTCTCCTAAAAACTACTTCTTGGCTAAAAAAGGCCTCGAAATTTCCTTTTTTTATGCTAACATACTGAAACAGACCCTCAAAAACGACCTCTGGGTAAAAAAGCCTTTTAACTCAGGAAATTGGTCTAGAGCTTCCCACCTCCATCCGCCTTTGCCTTTTCGACTTGCAAGGATCAGGGTGCATCAGGCCTTCTTACTCGTGATAGACCAATCACTTTTTTTAAGAAAAAAGTTTATCATTGCTTTTGCCGTAGATGGAAAAGAAGGAGTTGTTGAAGGCCATTGCCGTAGTCTCTTGGGCACAGGAATTTCTTTCCCGCCTACGATTAAAAAATTCCATCTTCCTTCTTCACAGGGGACACCAATCAGTACCTCCAACTGACTGTTTTCCTATTTACGCCGAAAGAAGAGGCAGCGAAATGGTTCGCCCTATTCCTTGTCAGATGATGGAGGAGGCGGGGAAGGGAAGGAAGAGGGGAATCGCCAACCGCAGTCCATAAAATGCGTGTTCTATGTGTGTATGTGGCTGCTGTCGGACTATTAACGTTAAGTTCGGTTTATTGCTCCGATTTCAACCAATTTTCCACCTTAACGGTTTGGTGTGACCAGACGTCATAAATTGATATAGAACTCGCGTCACAAATGTGTGACACTGAAAGTAAGTTGGTCAACAAACCCAATGCTCTCAGTTTATATTACTAAGTACATCCACAAGTGACACTTTATCAGGCTTTCATCTACTAAAATGAGCCTATGAATGATTGACGATTCAAAAGTAAAGACTTATTTCATCTGGCTATTATCAACTGACCATGGCCGCAAGTTGCACATTTATGACCTGAAAGTTAGGCCTTAAAATTAGCAGGCGTCATAAACATATAACTAACAGCAATTAATATTATATTAACACATTTTTAGACCATATTTTGTTGTTTCTGTTACTCACCTCTGTGAATTCTGTCCATTTCTTCGCCCTGGCGCCTGTGGTTGTCCGCCCACCCTCAACTGTGGTGCATCCATAGACCCAACAGAAGTTGATTTTCTACTTAGCACAGGTGTCACTGGCCAGGCATTTATCGCTACTGGAGTTGACTCCAAAGTAGGCACTGAAGTGGTTGTCACAGAAACAGCAGTTGGAGTAGCAACGTTGGCAGCAGCAACGTGTTCAGGCTCAGATCGAAAGCAATTTTTGCATACCGATCGACGCCATTGCTGGGGTTCGAAAGTTCGACATTCCCGGCGAGTCGCTGCTTCTGCGGCTGGGTTACTAGGCAGTGAAGCACGTCGCGTGTTAGGGAACATTTCATTAATAATGACAGTGACAGTGACGGAGGAGAAGTGAAAATTTACGCGACGGCTCTTAGGCTGCTATTTCTTCTCCTCCTTTCGGTGCTGACGACGAAATGCACCCTGGCGTCTGGATTTTGTGCCCTCTTGGATGCATACCTGCTTGCCTCCCTCTAGAATGGCCTGCACAGTCAAAGGCTCAAAATGATTGGTTATTTGTGGGAAGGGAAGGCTGACCAATGGTAACAACTGTGTCGCCTCGTGCGTGGAGCGTGAAATTGATTGCAAAGGTTATGTCAGCTACCATAGTGAAGCCGAGCGCTTTGCTGCTGCCTTGTAGCTGCTGATGCGTTTCACATAAAAAATATCCGGCATAAAAAGAGAAGATTGCTCATGTCCACCGCACGTTTCAGACAGACTCGTTTAAGTTGCTTTCAAGAATATGTCCACTTTTGCTATAAAAAAAAGGAGAGAATAAGTACCAAACGAGAGGAAAATGAGGAAAGAAACATTAAATGGCAGTAAAGTTTAGTGATTCAAATTGACTTGTGGGTAAAAAAGTACTCAAATCATCAACTATGAGTTTGAAAGAATAGAGTTAGGTGAAATTCATTTGGAGGATTTTTGTTTTATTTAATAACGCCTATTTTCGATGCAAAATGACAGTGAGATGACCTTCGGTTTCAAGCTTGCGCATTGTTTAATTTAAGTCATTTTAGGGGTCGATTTTACCTGCCTGGATTGTTTAAGTCGAATAGAGTAGAAAAACGAAGAATAATAATCTTTCAAGGCAAAATTTTACATTGGGTTTTGATTTTGTCGCGAAATGGCCGGTGGTAGCTTAAAATGAAAGGGTGATATTTATTGGTGTTATTTGGCTTTTCATTTGAGGAACATTAGCAGCAACTACCTTTTCCGTATATCACAATCATTACTTAATCGTCTTGACTGTAGTCGCAGGCGGATTTGCTTATAGTATTCGTAATAAGGAAAAGTCAGTTGTATATGGCGATTTCCTAACTTAAATATTTCGCAATTGTTAAGTCCCACGTTTAACATTGGGTTGTCACCTTTTGACTACCTCTTCATTTGACGGCTCTTAAGTGATCAATCAATCGTCAATGGATGGATGAATGAAAAGACGGATAGGTGGTTAACACCCGTTTATTTTTCTGTCTCTCTCATGCTATTTGACATGCTTTTTTAGATTTTTTTCCAAATCAGTGGACTAGCTTTCTGACTGACTAGCTGAATGATTGTTTGACCGGCTGGCTGCGGCGTGAGAATGAGGTGAAATGAGTTGAGACCTTTGTTTTGCAGCGTTCGTAAGACACACCAACTTGTCTTTGGTTTTTTCCAAAACCATCAACCACCCACATAAACGCCACCACCGTCTCACCTCTTCTGCAATAAACTATACGTTATCTTTGCAACCGAGTGGGCGGCTGAATAGCGTTACTCTTCACTCGTTGAATCTGGAGACCCGATCCCCCACTTCACCTGATATTCATCTTGTCAATTCGATACGCCTTCAAAATAGACAACTGCATCCTCACCTCAAGAAGCATGCAAAACTGACCAAACAGTTGAAAGGAAGCAAGTGAGTAAGTACAGCTCTTCCTTCCGTCGCAAAGCACGTCTACGAGAAGATGTACACTTTAGGACGCGAGAGGATCAGATTTACTGTCATCACCCCCATTCATCAGCATTAATTTATCACCCAATATGTGATTATTTCACATAGCAGGTTATTCTCAACAGCCCCACACGACTGGCAATCTGCGGTGATGCCCATTTACCAGGCATTTACATAAGTCATTTGATTAGGTAGGCTATAGGCATCAGTCGGAAAGTGGGTGCGATGCGCTTCTTTAAATTTGAAGTGGCATCATAAAAGTCCGAACGAGGCATGAAAGAAAGGGAGGAGGAAAGTACGAATGGACGGACCAAATATGGATTATCAAGATGTCGGAGTGCACAAACAACCGCCATCAGAGCGCCCTCTCTACTTCCTTTTATACCTCGCCTGTCCGGCTGTTTGCCTCGACAGTGTTCATAACCAGAAGACCTGCCGATTTTGGCGAGTTATACCTATCACCTTCATTATGGCTGGAGCTTTGATGCGGAAAATGCGTACATTGAACAATCAAAGATGAAACTGTTCTTTTCCTTCAAGACACCTCAGGCCCTTTTTTTGAATGGATTAGAAGCGATACACTGCTCTGTTTATCTTCCTCCTCAGAACTTCCTTGATGGCACTCATCCTGGCTCTAAATGACTTGTATTCCCTTTTTCAGCTGCGGTAATCAGACAATACCACATTCACGTGCGAGACAGTATAACTGGTCGGAGGAATTTGGGGTTGGGAGAGGGCGAGTGTGTATATGGTAAAAACAGCCGCAACTGGGGACCTAAAATAATGCAGCCCAACTTCACTTCTTCTTCCTCTTTACGCAAATCCTCCAGTAAAAGTGGATTTCTTCGAGTTTTTTTGCCGCCTTTGTACTGGGTTGCTGAATTGTGATTCTCCTTGCTCGCTATGGCTGTTTCTATCAACAACCGCAATGATATATTTAAGGCCACGACGGACGTAAACCCGTCGAAATTTTATTCCACGTTTTAAATAGACGTTGACCACACTTCTTTTCTCTTGAAGGAGTGAAAAATCGGCTCCTTGATCGGATATTACGTATCAAAGTTGCCTTCTTCAGCAAGAATGCACAACATGCCATCAGATTTCCCTTTTTGTCACCTCGAAAGATGCTTAGAAATCATAAACAAGCCTTGATTTTAAAAAGCCGAGTGTCACAAATATGTGACACAGAAAGAATGGTTTTAAACAATATTTGAATTGTTGTGCACAAAAAATAGGGTATCTTGATACAAAGGTGAAAGATGTTAATTATTTCGCAAAGAAAGTGGAAAAGGAAATATTTTTCGTTATTCACTGAATCTATCTATAAATAAACAGCTTGGGTGATACTACTTGCTTCAAGTAAGTAGACGGCCACTGTTGACCAATGGAAGTTGCATTTAGAAAAAGGGAAAGTAGAAGGCCCATGAGCTCATTTATTTTTCGATGTCGTGGATGAGATAAAAACACCCGACTACGCGGACTCTTTAGTCTATAAGAGCTAGTACCTTCGTCTTGGTGAGGAGTCATGATAGGGTCGCCGCGTTTGTTGAAGCATCGGTTAACCCACTGCTAACTGCTTCGATTAGACACAGTGCAAAGTCAAGAGAGAAAGGAGATGACTCAAGTAAAAGGCGTGAATTTGTGGCACTCCTAGACAAACATCCGTTACACTATGACGCTTGTGATTGACATGTCAGTCACCAGTGTGCACTCAAACACTTTTTCTTTGCGGCAAAACAAAATTAATGTCAAGAAGAAGGCGATCAACTTTATTAACATCTTGGAGACACGTTAACCAGGAAAAAGCGAAAAAGCCTACGTTTTGACTTTTTTGCTGGTACAAGGTGCTCTGGGTGGGGCACAAAAAGCAGCCGAGTAAAGTTTACATCAAAAGGTTAACATGGCAAAAAAAACCATTCTTTTTCCTGTCAGAAGGAGGCCTAGCTTCCGTACCTCGGGGTGCAAAAAGACTTCCAAAAACGTGCATTCAACTGACAAAAAAATATTTTATCCTGACTGCAGCACAGGAAGTTCAACTGCGCGGGAACTTGGGCCTGCACAGGTTTTCAGTGATCAAACATTCTACCCGCCTCCTCGGCATCGCCCACACCCGCAGCCCCTATTGCGTGTTAGAGGATGTCTTGAGGTGGTATTTGTCTGTTTGAGGTCTAGCCGCGAATTCAGTTTTACGCCTGTCTATTTGTCAGTTAGTCAAGATTACAGCCGTCTGGCCTAGATCTGTCTAATAGCCGAACCACTAGACTTAACAGCCGACCAAACTAATCATTTATCGCCTCATTCACTTAGTTTCGGACTATCTATTCATTCGTTTCGTCGTTCAGTAATACATCAGTCTTTTTAGCCATCTAGCAATCGCGGATTCTTCCAACCATCTATCCATCTATCTGCCCATCCATGCTTCCATTTATCCACCCTTCGGATAATTTAGAACTATAATTAAAAGGAGAGAAAGGAAGAGGATAGGAAAAGAAAGAGAGGGCAGGCAGATACCTAACATGTAGTAACAAATCATTAAACAACACAAAGTCCAAGTGGCTATTTTTGCAGTTTTTACTAGCACCACATTTCCAGCAACAGCGTCAACACCAGCTGTTTTCCCTCTGTCATCGACGAATGGTGTAGGTGGACCGGAAACGAACGACTTTAGTTGGGAACGCCCAAACTCCTCCTAGAAGTAATTACGAGGCCGGCGGCTACCGGCCATGTAGCCAATCAGAATTGACCAATCTTCTGGGGCCTTCACGGATTGGATGGCGCTTCATCTTGCTGTGACAGCTTTTTTTCCTTATTTTTGGAAGGTGAAGAATTTATTTGCATTATTGCTCAATAAAAATTGAAATTTTAGTCTTCTCGAACTTTTTAGTAAATGTATTGGGAGCTTGTTTTTTAAGCTTTGATTGATTCTTGATGTACGGTCGACGCATTCTTTGTTTGATCTAGTCGAAGAAGAGTCAGTTGGCCAGTGAATAGTGCATCGGAGCTAGTATATCCACCAACGGCGGGCAAACAGAAGAGTGCCAAAAGGCAGAAAGGAGGTATGAGAGAGAGGGGTGGAAAACCGGCTTTTTGTTTGATGTTTTTTTTTTCTATAGAGCATGTGAACCTCATCGATTCCTGCAATTCTTGTAATTGTGACCATCGTCAAGGTATCAATGCGACTATTAACGACGGTGAAACAAATAAATGGACAGACGGAGGTGTGAAGTAGGAAGTAGGAAGGGACGGGACTGTGACACCATTTGTGTGGGCAATGTCAAAGCTTAGCCAACACCCAATGGTCCAGCCGTCCTTTCATTTTTTCCATGCCCAGCTAAGTCTTTCAAGCCGCCTCCCCCTTCCCTATGATAGCTTTCCAATGCTTGAATAATGCACCACCGTACCCCGTCTCACCTCATCCCCAGTCAGTCAAGTAACCAGTCAATCAGACATTTATCAGTTTTGAGTGACACACCCACACCCTTTCTAAAATCGAGTGTGGTTTTGTTACCTCCCACCGTACCCTCATAGAATTCAATGTGTAGCCAACCTCCCCAAAATAGGGTCCAATTAGACTTGGTTCATGAAGCCGAAGTACTGCAGTCTCTTCCTTTAAAATGACTTTAAAAATATAGATAAGGTGTAAACTAGAAGCGTAACAGATAGGGTGAAGGTGTCTACCGCACTGCTAGGCTGGGGCTTAACCAACCCGTCTCATTCTACGGCATGATACGTCGGTTCTCTCTTCTCCCTCCAGCAATCAATCAAATGCATTTTACAAAGCCCCTAAAGTTTATCAAAAATTGCGCTTCCGTCACATGCTTAATTTGCATTTTATTTGTTACAAGCACCTTTATATTTTCCAGGAAAAAGACTATATTTGTAAATAGAATTTATCTTATTTAAGTTTACTGCGAAATAGCAATAAATCACAACCGTAGTCTATAAGGACAAAGCCTTTCACAACACGAAGGTATTACAATTGCTACTTGATTGAGGGTAAAAGGAGAGCGGAAGAAAGAAAAAAATGTCCTCCAAATTTTTGCACAAATAACTTTGAAGGGAGATAATAAAATGCAATAAGAGGAGAAAAAACTGCGTTTTGCGTATCCAAACATAAAGTAATAGCAACCGCGAGGTCTCACAACCCATTTTCACATCCATTTTTGCGATAGAGGGGTAGTTGATTAAAAGCTGCTACTGAAGAGGGAAATAAGTAGGTAGATTGCATGCGAAAGCAAGCAGCACCATTGCGCTTCTAGTTGCCGCGGCTGCAGAGGTAATGCGTAAAAATGCGTCGACTTCCCAATTGGAGGTCTGTGGAGCTGGTAAGGGTTGAGGAGCCGGTTTATTAACCTGCTTGAGCTCCGTTTCCTTCGTAAGATTCATTTGACAGCGTGAGTCTGCATGAATTCACGGAAAATATCTCTCAGGGTAGGTATTTTAATGTGATAGCAACCACCAAAAAATGTCATTCTCTCCTTTTGAATCTTCATTAGGAGGGTTTAAGTCGTCCTCAGACCTTTAATTTACACCCATAACGACATGCTGCAGCACCCATTAGTAAACACAACCTGCGCTCCGTATGTAGAGACTAACAGTCATGACATGAATTAGTGCAGGCCAGTAACTACTGGTCAAGTTAGAATGGAACGGTAAGGAGTACGCAGAAATCTTACTGAACAGAAGCCTTCAGACGGCATAGAAAGGAGACTCTGGACAACAGTAGGACATCTGAATGGTATTAGTGCTTTCAGTATGGCAGAGCGTCTCTTCATCACAGATTAAGCCATGACGGTTTTCACCTCACAGCAAAACAGTTACTCCTATGAAGGGGCACCTAACGCACAGAACGCCTGATGGACTCAGTTTCCATCCTGTGATTACCCTATATTTGGGAAGGGAAACATTGCAAATGCATAAAATGCTTCCAATTTGGACCAACGTGGAAGATCTGAATGGCAGATTGAATCGCAGGGGTTCATTAAAAATCCAACTCTGGGTTTAGTGGATTATATTAGCATTCAAGCTCAAGAGGTCCCCTTAATCCATTTCCTGACTGTTACGCTTCAGAGCTTTTACATCCATGACTTAGGCTCTGCATCGATGATGACATTGGCCAAAACACTTTGAAGAACCATCTATCAGGGTATTTTTCTTCGGAGAGCAGCATTAAAAAGCTGTCAGCAATAGCCTATTGCAACGTCGACCAAACTTGAGCAATGCAAATGTGATCTTGCGCAAGGGACACACAAAGCACATGTTTGTTGAAAACCTGACCCCCTCGACCTCACAGAACGTCGGTCCCTTTTAAAGGGATTTGGGGACACAATTGGCCCCATTCATAATGAATGTATAGCAGAATGCTAGAACATCAGACATCGACCAAGCTGGCAACAAATCGGAGCCTAAGTCGATGCTAATGAATGCAAAAACGCTCATATTTCTGCAAACTTAGGAGCTACATCCTACTAAGTCTACTTAAGTAGCAACCCACTTGGAACGAGACGTTGCCTTAACATGGGCAATTGTTCACGCCAGAAAAGGCATCGATGACGTTTCAAATTGCGCGCAATTCGAGGATTGGGCAATTCAAGTACAAGGTACTCCCTTGAACCGTCTATTTCAAGATCACCCTTGAAGGTAGTTCGGTGAATTTCGTAGTTGTTCCAATGGGAGCGTTTGGTGCGGGTGTGAAATTCGTCAGGGTGCAAGCTTGGTGACCTTAGGGCGTAAAAATCAAAAGCAAAGGTTATAAAGAAGTTTGGGACATTAAAGAGTGCAAAACTTTTAAAACTGACCCAGTAGCAGCAAAATTGGCCCAGTATTGCATAATGCTGGCACTCAGCTTTCTCTCCTCATCAGAGAACTTGTAGAAGTCCATCTGAAACTTCAAGTTAAGTGGTGCACCGAAGATGTACTCGGCCTCGTAGGCCTGCATCACTCCCGTCCAGTTAGGCCATGTCCAGCCACTGGATTGGTGTTCGAAGGAGTACAGAAAAACCTAGACAGGAGAAAAGATCAGTTGCTTAATAGTTCTGCGCAAGGTTTTGACCCTAGTCAAAGCCATCAGGCAACACTGAGACTTCAAGACGCTATTAGTCGAGAAGAAAGCAGCATACAACTCGAAACCTAGCTCACCTGACTGTTGGGCGCCTGTGAATAGGCATCGGCGAATTCAAGAAGGGGACACTTGATGTTGTAATCCCCTGCCACCTCGGCCAGTGCATGCTGCACCTGCAGCGGTGTCCATTCCTTCCAAAAGAATGCCCGACTTGGTATCTAGTGTGTAGAAGGTGCTACTTAAAGGTAATAAGTAGACGGACTTGCGCCTTTGCGTGGAAAAATATTTGGCAATGATTATCCCTATAATTGAGCAAAGATTAAAACGAAAACAAATTTAACTCAGTATTTTTGGTAGAGATATTCGCGTTGAACAACAAACGCCATTCCAAATCACCTCCGCCTATTTTTCGCATGTATTTAGAAAGATTAGAGAACCCTTATGAAAAGAACATGAGGGATAGCGGAGAGGAAGAGGAACGCGGTATAACCACTCCTTTCCTATCACTCTCCCACCCTACTTTAATAGAGTGGAGTAACTTTGTTGTCTGAGCGATAACAGGAAGTGGTTGCCAATTGTACAAGGGTGTGAGGGCTCAGTAAACTGTGCGTAGCACCTCTAACCTGGTACTCGAATGCAGTGGCTTGGAGCAGCAGCGGATGTAAAAAGTCCTCATCAATAATGTAGAAGGCCAGAATATCCAACGGATCCATTCCAGTGTGATCGGAGGAGAATACTTTAGGCAACGTTGGTGTATTCTTCTCCGCAAGAAAGTATTTTCTAAGCCCGTAGATCATTTCATACGTGCCTAAAAAAGGTTAGCGTAATTCACTACTAATTATGAATGGAATCCTGAGATCGTATCATCACTGAACAGTAGTATTTAAATGATATTAGTTAGAAATGCCCGGCGTCTGTGTCCTTGTTCGCTTATTTTCTTCTGACTTTTTAACATCAAAATTTATTTCCTCATTACTCATTGCTATGCCAAAAGCACGTTGCATGCACGAAGATGAAAACATCTAATCGGCTAAAATAAGTAGCACGTACCCTCATCTTTGTTGACACCGAGCAGAATTCGATGTTGCAATGCTTCACGATTTGACCCAATGAGTTGGTAGGGCCATCTCGGCAAAAATGGCTCCGAAACAACTGGTCTAAACGTGATGTTGAAAAACAACCCAGCTGTTCCCAAAATCTGAAAGTCAGAACAAAAATTCCTCTTTTCATCTCAAGGTAACCACGGCTTCGTTTTTTTTACAATCTTATGTCGATTTACCTCTGGATTGTATCGGCGACTGTAGAGACGGGATATTCGATGCTCCCGAGTTGTCAAGGGCATATCAGGAAGAAGATGCATTTTCCACTGATTTAGAACCAGAGTTCCCGCTTCGACAGATCGTAAACAGGCCTCCACTTCGTCATCGCTGCCGTGGCAACCGCTTAGTTGGGCAAACTGACGAGCCTGAAGTGCAGTTGCTACTGAATAGCGGGGAGTAGCACCTTTAATATTTTACTAAGGAAGGCGACCCCATTTCTGACCTTCTAATTCAAGAATACTTCTTAATAGGCGCGATCGGTATAATGTGAATGAAACTTCACAGCCTATCTAACCATGAGTACATCCTTCTGGACAGTTCACCTGAAATGCTCAACTTCCCATGATTTGGGTTGGCCTCAGACTTTGCATGTCACACATTTGTGACACTGGACTTATTCAGAAAAGCTGAGGTGTCATATGTGTGTCCATAAATTGATAAGCAACTTTTGACAGAGTAGTTTAGGTAAAAGCGCTTAAATGTCAGCTATCCACTCCTACTATCGTATAGCAGAGAACTGGACCAATGTTGCTCCAAAAAGGGCTGCCATTAATTCTCCAAAGGAATTTAGTAAACGACTGATGTTAAGAGAGTTGAGTGAAAGTCTTTTTGCAGCTTTTAGGAGTTTATTTAGGTGAATTAACTTCCACCAATCGAAAAAAATTGCCCTGGCAGGAAAAGTTATTCTCACCTTAAGTTATTTCCTTAATATTGAGAGACAAATATTACGTCAAATTTCAGCGAAGTGACGTTTGGTTGGCAGGTGATTCGGGTGACAGATTTGTCGCGTTGGAAGCAATTATCAATTTAGTCCTGAATAAGGACGGTGAGTACCAATTGGCTCATTTTTTCCAATTTTTCCCATACTCAGCTATTCTACGACATGGAGTTTTTTATTTTAAAAAAATTTGAGTGTTTTCCGTAAAAATAGTAAATTCTGTTTTGTTTTGCGATTTCATTGCTGAGCAGGAGTGCAGGATCTGTCAATGTTGTAATTAGTGTCACTCAATCAGTAAAACTATCAAAATAATTGGCATTCGCTAATTCATCTTCCTGATAAGGCTAAAAGGAACTAAACTTAATTTAAGTAGCCAAATTTTAATTAAAAACAATTACTAAATTCTTTTCAGTCTTTGGCCAATAAAAGATGAGCATTTGACTGCTTCCTCTTTTCGATTTGTTCCCACACCTAGCCAATCAACAGTCAGAGAGCGAACCTTGCTGATAGCTGATTGGGCGCTTTCGACTGCCCACCACGTAAGCGGTGATCCGCTCTGAAGGATGGCCTGTTGGAAGAGACGGCTGGAAACTGGTGAGAGAAGATGAAGTGATGCGCTAAGAGCACCGGCACCCTGACCAAAAAGTGTTACTCTGTGAAATCAAAAATAAAATAAGAAAAATGTTTAAGGGGACGTTGACCATCAGACGTCCGGACACTTCTATCAGTGAATTTGAGTTAGCTAGATGCTTGGAGGTGCACTTTGGGCAAAAGCATTTTATTAAGGATGGTTGTTAATAACGGTCCAGTTGTGCTACCAAATCCCTATATGTCAAAGCGGCCCTTCAGGTGAGAGTTGAAATTTGGAATAAGTTCCTAAACCCTATCAACTCCAGAGTTACCGTTTCATTAGAACCTTTTATGATAAAAGCCAAGCTTTAAAGTGGATCTACTCTTTGAGGCTTCCCAGATGATATAGGACAATTAATGCACTCACTGCTTGGGGTTTCCACCGAAGTAGATGATATTTCGACGAATCCACTGAAGTGCTTCCACCTGATCCAACAATCCTTGGTTTCCGGGTGCTCCAGGCGTTCCAAGAGACAAAAATCCAAGGGATCCCAAACGATATTGGATGCTCACCACGATTACTCCCATCTAAGAGGGAGATCATCTATTAGAAGTTCTATTTCAGCGTCACATATATGTGACGCCCAGATTCTCATATCATAGTTTAGTGTCACAAATACGTGTCACGTGTGTTTCCTTAGTTTGTAATAGCTGTGGTTACTCTAAGCCGGATTTAAGAGGACGAAGCCAGTTTGTGACTTTCCCTTGACTTGGTTTATATTTAGTTCGGTCCATCAATTGACCCGTGTGTGATTGGTTTAGGGTACACGAAGGCTCTAAATGGCCTCCTTCCATCCCATCAAAAATCTGTCATATTTGCACTCACCTCACTAGCCAAAATGGCTCCGTTGTACATCTCCAAATTCGCAGATCCTGATACAAAGTTTCCCCCATGAATCCAAACCATCACTGGACGTCCATTGAGTTGCTGGAAGTTGGATGTTGGCTGGATACTCCGACGTCGTAACCAATTGAATGACGTGTCAAGGTCACTGCCAGATGTTACCGAACCGCTAATACTACTGCCGCTGCTGCTGCTTCCATTGATCGCGTTCGTCCAGATATTCAAGTAGAGGCAGTCTTCACTCATTTCTGTGGTGTTCAACCAGACTCTAGTCATTGGATCGGTCTTTTGCCCTAGAAATAAAGTAGGAAAACGCAACGGATGACAACTTGATCATCGAAAACAGTCTTACCAAACTATCTCGACGAAAGTTACATGTTACTCTGCTTCCAGTCGCTTAACTGATGTTACTGACTTAGAGATTTAGAAGGCCTGGAAGGCGAGAAGCACTGGAGGGTAAATGGCCAAACTGTTTTATTTTACTTGTTTCTTTTGGGAAGGGAAGAAGCGAAAGGAAGAAGAGCTGAAATCTACTACTCGATAGGAAGCGAAATCATGCAAGAGTGTTTGCAGTCTCATCCCTCTCTTCTCCTTTGCATGCGGTTAAATGATTATCTAATGCAATCGCCAGGCAGCGACAACTATCACATGGAACTTGGAGGAATTACCATCCGGGGAAGAAGGCAGTACCTTCCTCCTTCCTACACATCTACTTATTCGCGTCGATGACCGCCTCTTCTCAATTGATGTCCTCTTGTAAGTTGTTAAGACAGTAATTTTTGATAATATCAGCCTTAGCAACAGGTGATACCTTATCAAGAATTAAGATGTTTGCTTGAAAGTGATGACCGCTTTCATCTTTACCGAAAATATAACAGGGAATTGTTTGATTCCCTGATAGTTTCCCAACCAGAGGGAGGGGGAGGGAGGAGGGTGAGGGGAAGAATGACAGGTAAGGCTAACTGCCTTAGAGTTAACTTTAATTTACTCCACTTCTGCTACCATAACTACTAACTGCTCAAAGATGGGAGGCAAGGGGAAAAATATTATTTTTGTGGGTTTGTATGCCCATTTTTTGGTCCCTACAAATGTACACAGAGCGTCTCTTGAAGCTAAGGCAATTCAATAAGAATATGACCAGAAAATCATATTATGAGTACTGTAATCAAATTATGGGCATTACAAAATATGAATTTTGTTGACAAAAATCGCAGCAAATGAGTTGGAGCTCTGGCATGTCTCCACGAAATTTTCAACCGACATTCGAGACAGACACCATCCGTCAAATCCTCGAATATGATGGCGGAAAAAAGTAGGGCTTTCGCTGCATAAAAAGGCCGTAGAATTCAGAA